CCGATACACATAACACTGTAAATCTTTTGAGTCCAAATTAGGTTTTTGCCTGTAAATTGCACACAATACTTCATTCCAGTCAATCTAAAATATTTTTTGAATTATTTTAATTTGTCGAAAAGGCACTGTAATTGGAAACCTCAAAAGCACTGAAACTAGCACCGTAACTAGCTCTATCCTATCATCAATATGATACAACAACGGTTTCCTGTACATATGTTACAATATTTCTATATCTCTCTACAATTGATGTATGTTATAATACGGGTATATATATGTACATGTTCGTAAGGCACTGCGGTCGAATTCACCATTACAAACATAAGAAGGATTATTGATTTCTGGTCTATATCCCGACGCACCGCACACACCCAGCCTTAAAAATGATACCAGGCTCATATGGTCTTTGGGATCATATGGCTAACTTGTACATTGTCTCATAGATTATTCACCATCATCTTTTATTCTCACATCATCCAGTATCTTTGTTTGAGATCACATGAACATTTTTGATTAGGAAAGGTTGGGACAAGTCCTTTAAACCTCAGAGATAATCACAGAAAATTAACAACCGGAAGTGACGCACTGTAAGGCAACTTATCAAAAACACTTTTGATTCTTTTTCTATAAAAATACTTATTTTCTGTTAAATGTAGAATGTTATTTTTGACATCAGGAGACATGGCTGCATATACTGGTGGAGAGGACATGACGTCATAGCCCAGGGTGTCTAACATTGGAGCAAGTGTTCTGAGCTTCGTGGGTGACATTCGAGTAAAATTTTTAGACCAGTTCCATAATGAATGTTGTTGGAGGGGCTGAAGCACTTGATCCGTCGATTTTTCAAACCTGGAATGAAAAATAAAACAAACATAGTATATAGGCAAAGATTTTAAAGGGACCTTCGGCTTTTTTGTAGTTCGAATTCTTTTTTTGCTCATATTCGTGAAAACTATACACCAAAATCTATAGAAATGTGCTCTGTAACGTACCTGAAAGTTTTAACTAAAGAAATCCAGTCGTTAATTTAAAAAAATTACTAATAATATCGAGCCATTATTTAGCCAAACACCAAAACTGGGTCAAACTGCTTGATTAACAATTAGTACTCTCCGTTTTTAATTACCCCTTTTAAATCAAATTCAGTTTGATCAAGAAGATACATAGATGTAAGTAGCATATTTTAGAAATATTTTCAGGTATATTTTACGACGTTTTGATAATGAAAACTTTTTACATAAAAGTGGAATACCTCTTTAAATTAATAGGATTAAAAAAGTCACTTTTTGACTTAAGAGAATGATATCGTCGAGAAAAGATATTGGTTTAGCTAAAAATAACCTAGTTTCAAATCGGAAATGCGCGAAAACGAGCCTCGCCAACAATGATTACTGACCGATATCATTGAAATTGGGGAAAAAATTCCATGATGTAAATGAACTTTGCAAGTTAGAAAACAAAAGCACAATAGGTCCTATCGTGTTCAAACCACACCCCAGTAGGCTATCACATGTCAAAACCCGTATTCGTAATACGATGAAGAGGTCATACCTACACGAAGGTATCCTAAGATATGTAGCCTAAAAGACATCTCCCATGCCCTTGAGAGTACGAGGCATTGAAAGATATACTATCGGCACATCAAAAGATTTGATTTTGATTTAAACAGTCCACGAATGAGTAGGCCACATAGCCTTCTGCTTAATTGACTGTAAAGTATTAATAATCTTACTTGGACAGAGTTGCTCCCCTTGCTGTATTCACAATCTTGTCGTGTTGCAAGACGTTGGAACTCCAGGGAACTCCCAGGAAGTTGAGAATGACCCTCATCCACCATTCTGGATAGAGAATCAATTGTTCATAATACACTGGTAAACAGATCTCGGGTCCCAATCTCACACATTGCGCGTACATTTCACCCACAAGTTTATTCCAGTTGATCAGGCAGTCTGTTTGATTATGGATGTTAAAACCCCTCACTGTCACCCCACGGGTCATCAGGGAATGCACCACTGCCCGACCGTCACGTAACATAAGAATAAACTTAGAATTAGGGAATAAATGTTTAAGATATACCATATATTTCAAATTTAACGGATCTTTATCTCCTATATATTTGGCGGGGTAACCATGTGACGTCATTATCTCCAAAATGAACTTTTGTACAGCAGAATCCATGACGGAGGTCGAAATTCCCGCTTCAGCTAATTGTTCTAAGTAATCGGGTGAGCATTCCCATGCTTCACGTTGTCGTAAGAATTGTGGTATGATATGCGTCTCCGGTCCAATGCGTATGTCTGGATGCGAGTCGAGCATGACTCGTAACAAAGTCGTCCCACTTCTAGGAACACCGCCGATAAAAAACAAAGGACTCTGGGCACCTACCGGCACATTTAGATTAATTTGTACTCTCGTCCAAACACAGAGATAAAACATAATAAAACAAAACGATAATATCGAAAGCATTCGCTTTCTTCTCAGCGTTACAATCATTGTCGTGTGTCCACTATTCTCCTCGCAACAATCTATTGGTGGATACCATTACCATTACATGATGTTTCGGATCTATTACACCAGACGTTTGGACAGGATAACACCGTCCGTTACTGTGAATATAACAAAACACACATGGACAACAAAAGCTCTTACTGTGTCAATTACACCAAAACATTTCGAAACTACCATGCCTATTTGTAATCGAGCTTCGAATACACAATATATTCACGCGTTATCCATAAGAGTTACTCACACAAAACGTTTCGGTACGATTGCATTTGTCGTTATCATAAATATAACAGAACACGCAAGAAACACAATAATCCGCTTTACTACAAACAACGTTTCGACATGATTGCATCGATTGTTAACAGGATTATAACATGTCATATATATATATATAGATATCAATCACCGTATACTATAATAATACAATGTACTGATACATCGATCACGACACTTGAATCTTCATCCGGGTGTCAATCTTGTCTCGTCTTACCAAAACATACAGCTGATATACCAACTTGAACTTGCGTAATATCTTAAAGGGATTGTAAAAAGATATTCTAGCCTTTTTATGTGAAGCCTATGTCAATATGGGTTTTTTCAGCCTTAAAGGGATTTTGAAAGAGGTTTTTTAGCCTTTTTATGTGAAGTCTTTCGGGGACACCTTTGACTTTTATTTTGGGACATTCCAGTTCTTCGTCCGATGCCTGTGGTTTCTGCAATTCCAGATAAAGTTAAACGGAAATGACGCAGCTCTATCCACCCAATTTTTAGTTAGAAATGCGGCCATCTTGTAAGATAACATATATTATTATGCTACGAATTCTCTTGCGTCATTTCCGTTTAACTTTTGAAGGAATTGCAGGAACCGCAGGCATTGGACGAAGAATCGGAATGTCCCAAATAGAAGTCAAAGGTGTCGCCGAACACATAAAAAAAGGCTATAAAACCTCTTTACAATCCCTTTAAGGCTGAAAAAACCCATACCGATCACCCATTACATTTTCTGAAATATATTAAAAGCTGAAAAACATTTTAAAAACCATATCACATTATAATAAGTGAATAGACTGTAATGTACTTGCGTATTTCAACAATTGTTAAAGGAACAATGCGCCATTTATTTTGACCAATCATAATCGAGTCAGAGAAATGGGATTTTTTGTAACTAAGCCAGTCATTAATAGCGTTCACAGGTCACCGTCGAAATTTGCGCCTTCAAATCCACGTGTCCAGAATTATCAGCGTTTGAATGTTAAAAAAACGGCTCCTCGTTTTTAAGATAAATATATAGTGAGTAAAACTCTTAAGTTTGAAATATTTTTAAATGAATTATGCGATTTTCTAACATTTCTAATACTTCCAAAGACTATTTACATATATTCAAGACTATAATCCACCCCCACAATGGAGCAACTGCCCCTTTAATATCATTTATATCTCCCTCTACATTCATCTCAAATTTCAGCCCATCATTTAAGACTGTATAGCTCTTTATTATCAAATAAATGGTATTGTTTGGAAATGACCTAAATGTTAAATGTCCTCACTCAGATTGAAGTGTAAAGCACGGATATACTACTTTTATAGAAGTGATTAAGTGAAGTATTCTACTCTGGTCATGGTTAAAATAAGGAAACAGTCGACGGCTTTGTTTTCCTATCTATCCAATCTACATCCTCCTTTAACACTGTTCTTATCAATATTAAAAGTGTAAGTTTACACCGGATTCAACAAGAATTGACACAGATCTATCAATTTTGTTAATATTTTTAAAATCATTCTAAGTTTTTCCATTAATGTCTACTGAGAGGGAGTAATCATTGTTTAATGAACTTCATTTGCATAAAACTATTAACAAGTTCAATATCTTTATCGTGTTCAGCTTGTAAAAATATAGATAATCTTTAAATCAGGGATTCCAGTAAGGAATTTAAAACAATAGAAGAAACGAAAAATATCATTTGAGGTCATAGGGGTCACAGGGGTCACAGGTTCCCATGTGGGTTGGTTACTGTACACCAAAATCTAGATAAGTATCCTTAACTTCACTGCAAGTTTTAACTTAAATACATCTATCGTAATTTTTTTAACGTGAAAAATATCTAAAAGTTTACGTAAACTAAACTTAACTTTTTATGTTCGTTATGCTTTTGGTAGCTGTTAAAAAACTGAACGGATTTAAGCAAAACAAACGTCTAATTGTAGAGAAATATGTCTCCTGTGTACTTATTAAGAATTTAACTAAAAATATGGAGTTTTAAGGAGGCCAAACACCGAAACTAGTTTCAAAAGCTTACCTTAAACTTTGCATACTGCCCCTTTAATGTCTTTATAGATAGTACAAACAGATTGTTTGAATGGATCGGTATATTTTGTTTGTCAATGAAGTATAGCCCACACGTATCACACAAGTATTTGAGCATGCTTTTTACGTTATAATTTAAACAATAATTATGAATTAAAATATTGAAATATAATACCAAAAGCCCGGGATTATTGATCCGTTACGAATTGATAAATTAGACGTAAGTGTATATAATTACACATTCTGTTACATTGTATTATTCAGGTCAGCTTGAAAGATACTAACAATCGACTGAACACAGCTTTATTATTTAGAGGAAGTATGTACTGATTTACTGAGTATGCACTGATTTACTGAGTATGTACTGATTTACTGAGTATGCACTGATTTACTGAGTATGCACTGATTTACTGAGTATGCACTGATTTACTGGGTATGTACTGATTTACTGTATTTGTACTGATTTACTGAGTATGCACCGATTTACTTGGTATGTACTGATTTACTTAGTATGTACTGATTTACTGGGTATATACTGATTTACTGGATATGTACTGATTTTCGTACATTTCTGATATTTCTGAAGACGTTTTACATACATTCAATACCAAAATCAACCCCGAATATGGCCCATCTGTCCCTTTAAAATGTAGTTTGAGGGAGGAAAAGATTTCTGTATATAGGAAATAGTTCCGGAAAATAATAGCATAATAGTTTTCATAAAAAAAGCAATTTTCGACAAAGGAAAAATGCCCAAAAACGTTTTTCTAAACTTGTTTTTGTCCGTTTAAACGAATTTGATAATATGAATTGCTTTGAGCATCTTGACGGCTAGACATGATTCGCTATACATATAATACTATATATCTCAATAATGTGATAAAGTAAAGCTTGACATAGAAAAAGGGTTTTACAAAGTCGTTCGAGTAGAACCTAAAATCGACGCCGCGTGAAAGTATTGCTGATAGAAATTTCCAAGGTTTATAGAACTCCATTCAGGCCAGTAGCTACTGGGGGAAAGGTGGGATGGGTGGGACAATGTCCCCCCTTACGGGAACAGTGTACCTGGAAAATATTTCACCATTTCACACGCCCACTTTTTAGTCAAATAGTAGAGCGTTCCCCTCTTCAACCACATATTTGAATGACTACAGCCGTTTGAGACATTGAGTTTTAAAACTCATCACACAAAGTAGGGGACCCGTACTGGTTTACTGAAAGACAGTAGCAACTTCAATGCCAGCTATGCAACTTTAATGCCAGCTATGCAACTTTAATGCCTTAAGATAGGCGCGAAAAGCAAGTTGAAATCGTGTCGTTAAAGCAAGAAATCAAACCATGCGATATATTTAAATATTGCTTGATAGAAGTGCTAACTTGAAGCTAGATTGTGTCAAACACAACCCTAAGAATGCTGTCCAGATTTACCCTTTTATCATGCTTTAGAATAATGTACTTACCTTGAAGGGCGCTGAAATCTCATGTAACTAACCGCATAGCAGACGACAATATACCTGTACAGCCACTAGTCCAACAGTATAGCCTACTAATGTTCCTCGTTCGACTGCCATACACACACAAAGAAAGATTGTGATCTATAAATCTATATAATATAAAGTTTAACTTTAAACTAAAATTGAATAAGGCCTTATAAAAGTGGCGAACTACCTGAATTTTATTTCTTAGTAGGTCAACAAATTTATGAGGGTTCAGTGATTTTACTACTCGGTTTATTATACTTCAAATATGATTAAACAAATAAATAAGTCGTAGGTCTACCTTAAACCAGAATCCGAGTCGAATGTCACTGGGCGGGGTTAAGAACAGGACAACAAATCAAACGAAGTAGGCCAAAGGACAATTATAACGTTTATATAGGCCTATAATACAATATTACCTAAAACTATGTCGTTTTTAAAATGTCTATATATATATCAAAATAAATAATAAATTGTGGAACCTCTTACGAGGATTCCCAAATGGCAAACCAAGTTGCAGAGTTGCTTCACTTATTCAGGAAGAGCGAGCATGCTCTGCCCTGACCACATCCGCAACAATATTTCTGCTGTTAGCTGTAAAATTTGAGACTGGAGCACCTAATATGGCGCTATATTTGGTTCAAAATGGGATCCAGATCTGATTGTATAAATTCTTAAAATCGCGTGGTCATTATTATTCGTGTTTTTAATGAGAAATAAATTACCCCAAGAAAAGATAACTCCGTATATTTCCTGTGAATTTTGTTCTATTCAAATTGTAGATATGTTTAGAATTACAGTTTATGAAATGAATGACGAATAATAATGATATGCAGAAAATGTCACGTGATCTAATTTAATTTCCGTAATATTCAAGGTTACGATTCAGCTAACACGATCCAATGAAGAAAGTCGAAAGATTACGATTCAACGAATACGATCCAGTGGAGAAGTTTTAAAGATCACGATTCAGCGAACACGATCCAGTGAAGAAAGTCGAAAGATTACTATTCAGCGAACAAGATCCAGTACCGTAGTTCCAAAGGTAAAATTCGCGTTCTGCGTTCTACGGTTAAAATTAAGTTTTAGAAGACTCAAAATGAAAAAAGTAGGCCTTAATAAGATAGGAGATAAAACACGTGAAAATA